AGACACACACAGACACACACACACACACACACACACACACACACACAGACAGACAGACAGACAGACAGAGGGATCAAAAATGGAGCAAGGACGCTGTGATCACACACACATGACATCAGAAACAGAGTGAGACAGACAGACAGATATCCTTGCTGCGCTGTGTTATGATTGTTTTAGGCCAGAGAAGAGCTACATGTGTGACGGATGGCGGGTGACAGCAGGCATCCTCATGCGGACAGGCAGAGTGTTTAAGCAGAGGGGAAGTGCCGTCACTGGAAATTAATCATATGCCAATCTGTCGATGTCCCCGAGTGGAGGAGAGCGTTAAGTAGAGGTGACGATTCTCCAGGCATTTTATACCCCCCCTCCATTTACTGATCTTCGGTGTTATTCAGGTCACACTGTGGCATGATGACTCCCTTAGTGGCTTTAAACCTCACTAATCAATACTTCCCCGGGTGAAACACTGAAATACGCTAAGAGGCTGATACTTTAAACTTATTAAATAACTGAAATATCCATGCCAAAACAATTCAAGACTTTGCTCTGTCTAATTTCCTAATAGCGTTCTATGAATATTTCATATAAATCTACTTGGGCAGTGCGTGATAAAAAGTTTGGATGTGGCCAGTCTTGCCTTTCCAGTAATCTATCTGGACTCCTCTGAGCTGTGCTTTTACATTACCAGACTCTGAATGAATCTATACTGCAGACCACTTCCAGTCTGAAGTATATATGTTCTCTTCATCCTCTCTACGCAGTATAAGGTCTTCAGACAACAAACAATAATGTGCATGCTTCTCTGAGTGATTTGAAAGTAAAGACCATAATAATTTGAATGCTGTAAGGAAAGGAAAACTTAACCAACACAAGATACTTGATCTTGAAAATGTGATTACCTATGAATGGGTGGCATTGGAATATTTTATTTCATAAATCATCCATCTGAATTGATGTGGTTTATTTCCACTGAGCCCGGGATTGGCCGGAGAGAGAGACAAATAAATATCGAGATCACGATTTATTTATTGGTGTGCACGAGAAATATTTCAATTGGATTAAATCGTTCGTATGATTTTCGATTCATTTGTGTGTACTAATTAAATAATTACATAACTTTGGCAGTGCACAAGGCCAATTCATTCATTACAGCCGCCACCTGTATAATGCACGTGACCTTGGTTGTAGCTATGGATAGATACTCTTACTTTGCTATTAACGAGGAGCTTATGGATTATATCGTTGGAAATATGCTGACTTGGAGGATGCGATTGACTTAATGAATGGGAAGGCCCTGGAAAACTTCATGGTTACCGGTGGACTTGAATCCGATGGTCAGAGGCTGCTCTGTTGTGCTGGCTCTCTGTATATGTACTTATCTCTTTTGCTCGCAAATTAACCAAAGCGTAGGAACGATTTAACTAGACTGAAGCAAATTACATCTTGTGTGCACGATTTAACCAAAATGTGGCCTCGATACATTTATTTTTTTCTCTCTGGTCACTCCCCGGCTCCATATAACTCCAGACTTTCCATTTGCTCGTCTGAACTTCTACATAACCTCACAGGAAGGAGAAGCATTCGATTCCATTAAGGCTCGGTTGATTATTATTGATTATTATGAACCTGATATTACGACTTCACCTTATCAAAAAAAGAAAATCTGTTGAATTTTGGAAATAACAACAAAGCTTGTTGAATATTGAATACTTTAATTTTCTTAGTTTGTAAACCCTAAAACTACTTAGATTTTTGAAAATTGTAAAACTTGATACAAATGTTTTACAAATTCAAAAGAGGGCAAACAAGCCACATTAATCAAGAGAAATATTTTTCTAAATTGAATATTTCAGTGCTTTAAATTAAGTGTTTTTATTTGTTATTTGAACATACATTAAGTAGTGGTTCAATTTAAGTTATTCATTCAGTTGCTTTGAGAATTGGCCTTTCTTTGCTTCAATAGTGTCGCTGTTGCTAGTATGAGGTGAACAGACAGTGCGACACAATACCTGCATATTGTGTACATGCCGTATAGATCTGTGAATTGAATATAATTTATAATATGAATCTTAGACGTGTATATATGCATGCACATCCTCTGTCCAGCTGTTAATGAGAATACAGCGGGCATTTTGCACATTCTGTCAACAACATATCCACATATTTGCTTTATATTATACTAGTATGTACCCACGTGTGCACAAATCTTATCGTATTCATATTTACCATTTGGCTTTATACTGCAATACGATTTTATAAATTTGGATCTTTTTTTTCATTAATTTTTTCTTTCTTCTAAATTGTAATTCAGATTAATTTTCATACGATGAATGCATGCTCTTCTACTTGAAATCTAGAATTGAAAGTGTGACTTGTTTAATGTTTGATAAGCTCAATTCCTGGTTCTATCTTATTTACCACTGCTCAAGCCCATAATTTGAATCTGCAACGGGCCGATATTGCCACGAGGCTCATTCAAATTTCAACTAATCTAATCTAACGCGGGCTTCTCCTTCAATCATTTCTGCAGCAGAGTGTTATCCTTACCGCGGTGCCCTCCACAATGTCCCTCCAAACGGGTTTGTCCCCGCTGCCCTCGCTGAAGTCCAGCAGGTTGTCCACCACTACCTGGCCGATCAGGTCGTGTCTGGAGAAGCGGTCGAAGTCGTACACGGAGAAATGCAGCTTCCTGGAATGTAGCTCACTCAGCGGCACCCCGAACTGAAACGTCTCATTAAACACTGGGTTTAAGGTCTTTCTGTGGACCTGAGAGGGAGACAGAGATAGAATTTAGTAACACTTTACATTAAATACCACAAATTACAGTCATTATTTTATATGGGACACCAATTGGTACAAGCAATGAGGAGGGAACAAACAACATTATTTCACCCTGTAACAACCCTACTGTATAATCACAGTGAAAAGGTTGCTAACATGGGACTACTTTTCTTTACAGCCCATACCACAGTCTTGCACTGTAATAAGGGCTCTTGCCCACATTTTCAATGATTTGTTTTGATTGTAAAGTACTAAGAGTAACGGCCACTACCTCTGCTAGAATTACTCATGTGTTTTCAGAAATAGTTGCTACCACATGGAGAAAATAACATTTCATTGGTCAATATATTAACAACTGACCACATACGTTGTCCAATAACAGAAGGTTTGTGAGTGGAAGCCGTATCCGGCGTAATTGTTTGAGCATCAGATAGATTCAACATTGGACCCAAAAACTACATTACTGGTCCCCCGTATTTTATTATCATTGTAAAAATAAACATACGCATATCTATTTCATGGTTATAGCTACACAGGTATCCCCCTCTTCCCAGGCTTAGACTAATGTTTTTTTCCCAGCAACAAAAATATTGCACACTAAATTATTAATAATAACTACTATATATCTAAAACAATTCTGACACTACAATTCCCTACAGAATGTTTTGTTAATATGTCACAATTCTTAAACTATTCTAAACTAATTCTAATATAATCGAAGCATCAACACTGTTTCCACAGTCCTGCCCTTCCTTTAAAAGCCTTTTTTGCCAGATCTCTCATCTTCTTCACTCATACTACCATATTTGTATCTGTATAAGTACCCAGTAGGTATTTATTTGATACCCTGCATATCCTGAATCCTGAAACACAGTACTTTGTGTGCTATAATATAAAGCGTTATGAAATATATATTTCTGGCTTAGCCCCAGTTTGTGCCTTTCATATAACCATCATTTTTACATTTTAGACTTTTGCATCGATGATTGCATTCCAGTCACAGACATGAGTCGAGGTCTCTTTAGAGATAAATTCCAAAACAAACAGCAGTGTCAACACGTAATGATTTTTTTAAAGATGCATCCACAATCCTCAAAGACTGTTGCATTTTGCTGGTATTAAAAATATTCGATCCACTGCCCAGTAAAGTACATTTTCAAACTGTTTACAAAGGTGTGACTCTATTTCACCAATCAAACCAACCGCATATTTTTCATACCAGCAGAAAAGGGGAGTTACCGAGTATGAGGACATGTCTTTATAAAACATAATAAAACGACCTACAGGAGTTTGTGCTGTTGCTTTTTTTAAAATCTCTGGCTTGAACGTAACCATCAATGCAAAAGTCTCACATTAAAAAAATAAAACTAGAGCTACAGTATATTTGGTCAAAATACGTTTTTTCCTAAAGCACTAATTGACAAGATCCTAATTATCTTTTGACATCTTTGGCACGAGCTCTTGTTACTGTGGTCTTTACTGTACTGAATCTTTTTAAGTTTCAAGTAGTGTTTGTTTGTTTTCCTTTTTTTGGCCCATTTTCTGCTCCTGCAAACCACCCTGTTCTTCTTCCAAAACAAATTAGAAACATAAAAGGCGTCACTTCCTATGAACGTTTTTCCTCACAGAAGAGCTATCCGAGACTTGTGAAGATAAAAGCTTTGATTAACTGCCTGTAGGATGAATCACGTTGGGCTGAAAGTAGCAAAAACAGACATGTAGATGTCATGAAACAGTATTTTAAATTGATCTACATTTCTGCAAAAATAAGATAAAAATAATATTCCAGAGGGCTTTGATTGGCCTTGAGCAACATAATTAACCTCTACCACCGTCTAACCTTGTTCCTCAGCAAGAAGGAGAAAAGTGAATTTCTTCCTTTTCTTGAGGGATAAAGAATCACATCAAACCCGTTAAACGTTCACAACACATTTCCTATTGGTAACTGTTTTTATTCCAGTCTAGTTCACGTCTATTTTGATTTGTGTTTCTATCCTTTTCCATCCGTCACCTCTAAAACGAATCAAATAAAATGGATCATTTCAAATCAGAAAATGCCACCGGACGATTCATTTCCTGCTCATCATGTTTTAACACATTGCAGACAGCATTTCACTTCCAATCTCCAAGCTATTTATTTTTTTACTATTTGTTGATTAACTGGTGGGATTTATTTGCTGTGAAGCATTTGATATAAATGCTGTCATGCAATAAAGCTGGGGATAATTAAAAGGTGACACACTCGATTTTCCAAATCTAACTTTTGTCACTGCGTGAGTGGGTCTGTCACTTTGGCTTATTAGCACTCGATGATTTGTTAGCTTTGGATTAAACATGCGGTTGATGGAGACATTGTGCCTTTAGAAACCAGAAACACAAAGCTCTAACATCTACTAGGTGATGTCTGTTTCCCCTTTTGAAATCAATTGGAGGAATGAAAGCGTGGCAAAATATGAGTGGTGTAAAAATTCCATGTGACTGAAATGGAACAATCATCTACACTCGAAACAAAAGGGGAGCAGTATTATGCAAATGATTGAAGCATTCACTCTTGTCAATGGCTGAAGGGGCTTTTGTGATCTACAGGAGACAGTCATACAAAGGGGGAAACCAAAGGGGAGACATTTCAAACTGGTACAGCTTCATTGTCACTGAAAGCTTCACAAGCTGCACAAAAGTACCAGTGATATTTATGGATTTCAAACTACAACTCAAATTTGTAAAGTCTCCCGAGCTCATAAATCTTGACATAATAAATGTAATAATAAAATAGGCTAAGGATACATTTCCTGGTACAGAATGTCCCGAAATGTACACAAATATTGACTCTACTGTCCTCAAATACCAGAATAACACACAAGAGTTGGTTAGCGGCGCCCTGTAATAGTCTGAAGCACATTATATTGAATAAATTATGCCCCAGATTAGATTAGATGACATTAGTGAAACTGTAATGATTCCCCATGAGGAGGCTGGGTCATCAGAAGAGCAGGAAACAACAAGTCAGACCTGATGATGTTGTTTGAATGTTTGTTTACACTCAGGATACAGATGAGTATGGTGGGAGTCACCTTGGTCTGGTATTTTTTCTTCCTGTCTGGCAGTAGGTAGATCTTCACGTATGGGTCAGAGAAGCCATTGGCATCCTTCGCTGGCAGGTCCAGAGCTTTCAGGATCTTCACCACCAATTGCTCCGTACTGAACCACACACACACACGCACACACACACAAAAGAGCAAACTTCATGAGGCTTTCACATGCTCATAAAAAAGGCATAAAATGGCAGGGGTCGCACAAATTTACACAGTAAATCTATGAGACCCAGACAGGATCAGCCCACACACACAAACACACACCTGCAGGCTTTTTACTCACATACTGGTGTAGGAGGTGCTGTGTCTCAGAGGCTAGGAACAGCCAAAATAGCATGTGTGTGTTTGTGTGTCATCCCTGCAGCTGTATCATGCACTATCATCAATGTTAAATGTAAGCACATATGTACAACCAATGAGTCTGTCTCATTAATAATCTTCAACACAGTACCCTTTATTCTACACTCACTTTGGGCCATACAGAGCAGGAGCCACACTAAAACTTAACCTATGCTAGCATTGAGCTGATATTGGCCCTTCTTGTGTTGTCCTACTAACAGTCCGAACCCCAAAGTTAATCATATTACTTTGGTATAAAACAGAGAAAAGCAGCAAATATTCAAATGTCAGAAGCTGGGACCAATGAACTGAACTTTTTTTAGTATTTTTAAAAGTCAAACAATAAATCAATTGTCAAAATTTTGCAGATAATTTTTTTACCAACCGATAAGTCAAACTCATTCATTGTGTATGTAAATATTTTATATTATATGTGGCAAAAGAAAAAAAATAGTTTTGGGCTTTAAGAAGAGTCTTCAAGTGTTATTTTACTAAAGAAAAGAATATTACACTGGGCTGTATTTTCTGGGATAATTGGCATAAAATGCTTAAAGATAACAAATATAGGTATCCAGAAATTTAACGATCAGCAGCTTTTCTCTAAAAATAGAAATATTGATCCTCAACAAACCACTCAGATACTGACTCACTAATGTGCATGAAAGCACTGTAGCAGGAATCTTTCTTTGTCCCGCACACAAATATGCAAGCATAAACACACGCGTGAGCACACATAGTACACACGCCTTTACATTTGAATGCTCCATCCACAGATATTGCTGCCAATCACGCACCGTTCATTATGTATTTAATTAACAGAAGAAGATGAGAACGGCTTGGAGGCCTTTAATCAGACCTCATTAGACTGTGTCTCCCCGTGTTAACCAGTGTGTCAGCACTTCATTAACTGCTTTAGGAGGTCAACGTGAACTTTGGAGCTGAGGAATGAACAGAGGCGCAAATGCCTACAGTGACCCTGGCAGTTATAACATCCTCTCTCCGTGTGTACCAATCACAAATAAGATACGCTTGGTGACAATACAACCATGGCCAATCCGAATACATGTTTACCTCTGAATCACATCCAATTAAGGCAATCGGATAAACATGCCCACTCTGCAATCACATCAAATCAGGGAGATGATAAACAGGGAAAGTTGCTGGGGGAAATTACATTTTCAGCCCAGCCAGATACATATTTTAATGAGAAACCCGTGACCAATTTAAATATGTATCTAAGATCTTTAATTCAGTATGATTTTGAGACAAGTTGGTGGTCACCGTGATAAGCCAGTGTGGCTCAGATACAATAACTGGAAATGAAATTTTCCGGCACTCATGTGTCTTATAACCAAACAAGATGTGAGCTTGAACCCAAACCAAGTTTTTCACATAATCCACCAGGCTCGCTGCAGAGAATATACCTATTACAGCTCAGGCACAGAGGGAAATTAACGGCCTTATTCCTGGCAGACAATGCCTGGAAGCTAGCTGTTATTCCCACAGTGGAAATTTGTCAGCTTTTAATGGGATTGTCAATAGAAATGGCTTTCCCAGAGGATCTGTGGAAGATTGACATTGTTGTTCTGACTGTTACTCCCCAACATCTGGGTCTCACACATTAACATACCAATCGTATCAGGGTTTCAGTGCTAACACACCTCTACATGTGTGTATCTGCAAACATGCCCACACCTGTCTTCTTTACTCCTCAGTCACTCCCTCCACTCTTCTACTCCTCTCACTAAAACAGCTTCCCTCAAGTGTAATGAAAGGCAACTACAGCACAACATAAATTATCTTGTGACTTTATAAATGGGGGAAAAGGGACACGTGAATAGTTTTCATCATTAACCTCGCTGTCCGTCCAACTCCCTTGCTAATTCTCTGTATCTGTAACGCCAGCTATAACACAGTCTGGTGTTATTATGCGTTGACAGGGGCTGCTGTTTAAAGTGGCTTGCCATATATAATTCATGACTAAAACGGTCTCTCGCTCTTTTTCTTTTCTGACCATCAGCACTTTCGCCATGTTGTAATGTTTCTTCATGTCGGGGACGGGCAGAAATGGGGGACTGCCAGCTGAGCCGCAGACAGACAGACCGAGCAAGTGAGCTGCACACTCCTCCCCACAACCCACAGCCACTGACTTACAGTACATACACAATTAATATACACTCTCATTACCCAGTCCTCACAGCATGGCACTCACCAATGTCGTACTTAAATTCTCCAGTGAAGAATATTCAACGAAGAATCGTCAAAGGAACAAAAAGAAAGTAACTACAGCCATCTGTGCCACACAGTAAATAAAATACACTTTGTCGCTTACATTTAATGCCACTAATGTATTGGTGGTGTATGATGTTTTCCCTATTTAGACCTCACTCTCTCAAACTCAATGTCCTACTTGAGTTGGAGGTTTTCTTTCTGTGTCTACTGAAGAGGATAAAGATATTTTCCCAAGAAGCACCCTCTCAATGTTCTGTGCCATGAAAAAATTGTGTGTTTGCAGCCCTCTGACTTTGTGATTAATAACCACTAAGATTAAATATCTTGGTTCTACTCAGACAGTGTTCAGAGCTCATTTTCAAGGATTTAATTCTTCAAATGGTGCACTGTTATCACAGGCATCCACAGAATGCAGAACTGTATCTATTTATTAATTTACTGCTTTTAGCCATTTTAGCAGCATGGATGTAAATGTCGGTCGGCCGGTTCACCACTTTAGTCCAGACCGAAATATAAACTATTACTGGATTGCTATAAAATATGGTATTTTTAGCTGTGCTTTGTGTTTCAACATATACTCATACAATGGTTTCTATGATATCTTACGAAAAGTTATTTCTATTTTGTCGTGTATTCTATACTAATGTCAAGTAGCACTTTGCAAGCCCCTGCAGTGCAGAATCTGTTGTCTAGGCAACAAAACTACTCGGTTAGGAAATGATCAGGGTTTGGATTAAAATAAGTATGTTTATTACATTACTTACATTGATGGCGTTAGTTAAGTATGTAAGTTACTTAACAAAAATACAGTAAAATAAGTCACAGAGGACACAAACAGCGGTCTCCTTCCTGACCCATCCATCCATCCCGACCTCCTCACAATGCGGACTTTGCCGCTCTTTATAATACGTCGCCTGGCTTCCTTAGTGGCAGCCCTGCACATTCCTGGCTCACGCTTACGTGGGTTGTATACGAATTACAGTGATTCACTTTCCGGAGGTATAAGTACGAACCTTGAATGAGAACCGCCGGTGCGTTTGTTGCTACAGCAATTAGACAATGGAAAAGAAGAACCATTGAGAAGTTAAGCTTCTATTTTGATCAAAGCAGGATGCATGTGAGTCAATGGGGCTACCCACAGCATGCTAGTGCAGTTTCTTCTGGCTAACCTGGTGGTGATGTAACGGCCTCATTGTTTACGGTTAAACTTTAGATCTTTAAATTATTGTGGCAATCATGTAAAAAGTCTAAATTAGAGGACACTGACAGAGCGAGTAAGTTGTTTCAATGTGAGCTTGCTGACTTACTTGAAGGCGTAGCGCAGGAGGAAGCTGATTTTGCCGCAGTTGTCACCCTGTTTGCCTTCGCCCTGGTCGCCCTTGGGCCTGTAGAGCTCCGGTTTGATCTGCCCAATGCTGGTTACCTGCTCCTTCTCCTCGCCGTGGAAATCAGGACTGGAGAGCTGGTGAGTCATGGGCTTGGGCCTAGACACATTAGAGCGCAGAGGGTGAATATTAAGTGAAGAGCGCAGCACATGCACACACACAGATCAAAAAAAGATGCTATGCAACAGTGTGATTCAGCAGCATAATCTGAGATGCAGCGTAAACCATTTAAATGGAGTTGACCCACTGTTTTTATTTGCATAAAAGTACACACCTTTTTTACACATCAAATATTAAGTGGTATCAAATCAAGACAAGTTGTGTGATGGTGCTTCTGGAGGACAAAAATCACAAGTTACTATCCTTTAAAAATTGTGAAAGGTTCTCTGTGGGTCTTTCCTGGTTTTGTAGAAATGGAAAAACAGCTAATATCAGCATCAATTAAGAAAAAGAAGATGTTTTGCAAGATGAAACTTACTTGAGGTTCAATACATGTAAGATGAGTTACAGACCTCATTAGAGGCAAGCAAGATTAAAGCCAACGTCGTACATCCAGTACGGTCTTAATCAAAAACAACTTTTTAACAGGTAAAGCCCTCCTTTTCTTATTTACTGACCGGGAGGTGACCTGCTGCTGGGAATGAGCGTTGGGCAGATCTTTATGGGGCTGGGCTCCAACCTCTGAGTTGGGGACATCTGGAGACGTCTGACTCAGCTTCAGAGTTCCTAACAGAGTGAAATGAACAAAACAATCCTCAATGACTAACATGTCTCTTTGGTTAGTGCTATTGTGGCCGTCATCATTACAACGGCTCAGATCAATGCCTTTTTTTGTAATGCAGTATCAGCATCATTGATCGAATTGATTGTATAACATTGATTTAACAGTGATTAACAGAAAAGAGAAGGGAAGGAATGATTAGATTAGATTAGATATATACTTTATTCATCCCCAAGGGGAAATTTGTCCTGAATGAGTAGACATGTTTACAATAGCAGAACATGAGCCAGCATGACAGGCATATAACACAGAGATATGAAAGAACTGCCATAAACTTTAACATAATAAATAAAAGCAGAGTGAAAACGCATAGAGCTGGTTCATAAAATCAGGTCCTAAACATATCTCTGACATCAGTTTATGACAGTTAGTATCTATTTGTGAAAATGTCTTCTCTTACTTAATGCTGCTTATTTAAGTTCCTGTTAAACTTAAAAGGTCGATTGCAACCATCACAAGCTTTCTGGGAAGGATCTCTTACAACTGAGTTAATCAATATGTTTATGTGTGTTTGTGCAATTAACAGATATGTAAATTGTAACTGTTTGGTTAATAAAACAGAAAACAGAAAAAAAGAAACATGACTCCAATGGCATCACAATTGTGTCTGTGTGTGAACCTGTTCTTTAAAAGGCAGATATGTCTCTTCACTGTATGCTGTTTTGAGAAATAAAGAAATTAATTCTTTAAAAACAGTACAGATATGATTGAAACTGCATCTTAAAGTCACAGACTCCTTCATAACCAAGTATGTGTAATTCAGAGATTAGGCCTGTAACATGAATACTACTCCTTGAATATAGCACTACTGAAAGAAAAGCTACGTATACAATAATGGCCAGTATTCATAACACTGTTGCAGCATAGATTCATTATTTTTACTATATGTAGGTACAATTTCAGTATTAAATTCAGTACCATGTGAGTGTATTGAAATGATATGCTATTGAACGAGGCATTACATTACTCTTATAGTCAGACTGGGATTAGTGTCTCCTTTCTGGGAACTTGCTCCCTCTCTCACCAGCATTGTTGGGATAGGAGTCCATGTCCAGGTAGGACGGCTCCTGGGTCTCCTGTGGTCCCCCAACCACACCTCCAACCTCCCCCCTTTCCAAACCCACCAGGTCAGAGAAATGGGGGTGGTGCTGGCCCTGCTGGCCTAGGGAGGGGTAGAGCGAGGACGAGGAGTGGCCCTCCTTCCTCTGCAGCAGGGGTGGCAAGAGTGACGAGCCCCCGGTGCCTCCGAGGCTTCCGACACCAGCACTTCCAGGCAGCAACCCCGATGTCAGGCTCAGGCCTCCGCCCTCTTTGTCCCTCCATGGCAGCCAGCAGAGCTTCCAGGAGACAAAAAGGGAGACGGAGAGGAGGACGATGCCGCAGAATGTCACAATGACCGACAGCAGACTGACAGAGATCTCTACAGAGGACCAGAGGAAGACATGGAGGGGAGGGGAAAGAAAATAAAGAGATGAAAAACAGAAGATTCAACAGACAAAAGGAAGCCTTAACGTCATCATTATAAAGTATGTGTTTACACAGAAAGAAAGAAATGGCATTTAAAAGAGGAGAATGTGGTTTTAACAAGAGCAACTAGCAGCTCTCTGAGGCTGTACTGAGGCACAGCAGTGCTTTGAGCTTAATGCTAACATGATGACGTTTAGAGGGTATGTTTACCATGTTTACCAGTTTACTGTGAACACCTGCTAATCAGCACTAAACACGAACTACAGCTAAAGCTGATATGAATGCCAATAGTTTTACAAATCATTAACCAGAATATCAAATATAAACAAATAAAAACATTGACCTGAAGATGGTGCTAGATGAAAAGTAAGGGGATCACCAAAGTTATTACAGTTCATCCTGAAGGGGATGTGAATGGTAACCCATCTAGAGCACGTGTCCAACTCTATTTGGGACTGCACAGCATTTTCATCCCTTGTCCCACATCCCTCATATTGAGACGATGTCCCACATTTAGTTTGGCTCTGGTCTTCAAAAGTCAAACCACTGCAGGGCAGACTTTTTTCTAAAATCTGTCTTTAATCCAATGGCTGTGGAGAAAGCAGGGAAGGCTGTCAGCATTGGGGCTGTTTGAAAAGTCACAAGCTATGTAGATTTAGGCAGAATGTGATGGAAATTAGCACACAGAAAAGGAAATGCAGAGACAACAAAGACTGGGAATTTGCTTATAACTGGGTGAAGCCGGTGTCCCACATTGTCCCGCACAAACACACTCTTTGGCCCACATTTGTTTTTGGGATCTGGTCAGCCTCAACCCATCCAATAGTTATTGAGACATTTCACTCAAAACCACAAATGTGAACCTCATGGTGATCCTGGAGGAACAAGTCAGGGGATCACCAAAGTCAGAATTCATTGTCTGAGACTAATGGATGTCTGTGAAAACCATCATTATAAACTACCCCATGCTGCTACCATGGCTAAAAACAACAACCACATGCCCTGTATTTAATTATCACATCATAAATATGCCCAACAAATCAACAGTAAGCCATTGCATGATCAACAATCCACACACACACGCCATCACAAGCTTCACGACATCATCTAAAAAAAATCACAAATCACAGTGCAGGAGAAGGAACCCGCTGTAGGCGTAAATTGATGCAACCATCCCCTGAAGCTCACATCCCACATTTAATTAATGTGCTTAAAATGGGGGCAAACGTTGGCAGATGGGATATTCTTAGGAGAGGAGAGGAGGTGATGTAGGGGGTGGGGGGACACAATGGAGAACAAACACCCACAGTATTGTCTCTATGTAATGTCATCCTGCATTTCCTCATGGTTATACGTTTTTTAATCTGTGATGGCTCAAGGATTGTGTTTGTGGGGAGGATTGGATTGGAGGTTTGGTGGGGGGGAGATAGTGGGGTTGGGATGGTGAATATGGGTCTGTAGAGGATGTGTGTGGGGAGGCTGGAGTATGACTCATCCGACTGAAAAAGTGTACAGAATATAAGAAAAGCTCAATTTCAGCACCAGACAGCCGGACAGTTCCAGCAACAGCCTCTGTCAAAGAGAGCAGAAATCAAAGAGTCGATTAGGAACTTTTGTAGTTTTGTATATGGTTTAGAAATGCACAACTGCACATGTCGGAGCCTATGACACGTAAATTCATGAATTCATAAATTTGTAAATACCCTACAAATATTTCATGAAATATCATTTCATGATATTTATAAATAAATAGACTAAATATACAATCAATATTATTCATTTTCCTGAGCCATTTGAAGTCTTCTTATGAATAGCATGTTTTGGGTCTGATGACTTGACAAAAGGACCAATCAGAGCCCAAATGAAGCCCACAGCCCTGAACATGAATATGCATAGGCTGGAAGTAGACCGAGAGGACTAATTACGATACAGTGTGCAGATTTCGATAACCAAGTAGGCTTCCCCGCCTTACAGCGTCTAACTGGAATTTTTTGCCTCTCGCCATCTTGGGCTCCGTCCAGATGAGGGCCACCACTTAACAATCCTTCCTGTCTGCAGGCAGGCCAATCATCACCTTAGTGTAGAACAGTAATGCCTTACTGTCAGAGGAAAATGTTCTCTGAACTCCCGACCAGATGCCCAAAAAGGGGCATCCTGTTCTTTAAACTCATTTTCCTTCACTTCAGTTCAATTCAGAGTATATTTATGGGTATTATAAAGCAATCAACACTGTTAAATCATACAAAAGTGAGTGGAATTATCTCTTTAACAGGCTGACAACCAGGCTTAGAGCAAATGAGTGAACACAAGACAACAGCAGCCGATCCTCCAGCCCTGGGGTACATCTTCTGGAATTCGGTTCGCCTTCTGACTCCACCAGCCCTCTCTTTCTCTTTCACTCGCTTCTCTATATAATCCCCTCAAATATTTCTCATTCCTCGCTGTCATTTCTTTTCCCATGCTGTCTGCCTCTGCACGCTTTCTCCTCAGCGACTGTGTCTTTGTTCATCACCCCTACCATCTCTGCACCCCCCACCTCTTCTCTGCTTCTCCTTCTTTGCTCTGTCTTTGGTGAATTATTCATCAGTCTGTGTATGTCATTAATCAGCACAAAGATATGATTGGGGGGCCGCTGAGTTGTGGGAGGGATACATCGATCTGTTGAGGTGCTGAACAAGACAGGGTGGGAAGTGAGGAACAGGGGATGGGAAGGGGGAGAAAAAAGGAGGAGAGAGCAAGGCAAGAGGGAATGTGACGATGGAGATCAGCAGACAGGAGAAGCTTAAAGTGATGGAGCGGAAGGAGAGGAAACGAGGGCAAAGGAAGGTAGGATAAAGTAGAAAACGGGACAGTAGTGATGAAGGGGAATAGAGTGAAATGAAAAACGATCCAAACCACAGAACGGCCGGCTGAGCCTGGAAAGACAGGGAGAGGGTTGAAAACAGATTGGTGCACATGTTGAACAGACATATAAGCTGACTGGGTTTATTCCCCCTTTTTGTTTCCTCAGAGGAGGTAGGGGGAGGGGGAGGAAGGGAGGAGGGTTGATAAAGTCGATGCAACTACCACGCCATGTGTGAAAGAGTAGAAACCAAAGAGGCAATGGTAGAGAGAAAGAGAGAGCCGTGGAACAGAGCGATGGAAGAAAACAGCATGACAATGATTTAGAGCAAAACCTAAAGAGGGGAGGGGTTTAAGGATAAGAAAGGTTAATGTATTGATCTGGACAGGGAAAAACAAAGCGAGGAGGCAGAAGAGTAGGTTTTGTGTGGTTGGCAGATCAAGGTGCACTGATAAGACACAGCTGTGATAAAACGTGCATGGGGACTGTCGGGGGCCAAACCACTCTCCTTCATTTGTCTCTTTAGGGCAGTTGCTGTACCTTCATGAGCAAAGATCCATCACTAATCCATGAAGCATAAAAATGCGATTCAGCGGGTGGGCAGGTGGGTGGGTAGAAGGCCTCTGAAGTGCACCGTGAAGAGGGGCCGAGGCTTGCTGTCAATCAAGGACTGATGCAAGCCCACTGGGAGGCGTACATTGCTCCACATCAAACACATCTCCGCTGCTTACACAAGCCATTCGCTGACAGCTTTCGGGTGTCGCCTTCCTCAGAGGGTTTGGAGACTTCCGTCAGCAAACACCGAAAAATCACAGCTGGTAAGCAAAGGGGGCCAAAGCCTAAAACCATGGTGTGACATTTCTTCACAGAGCCATCCAAATCTCCAGAGGGAACATGCAGCCAATCCTGTTTAATCTACAATGAGCCAGAGATATCCACGCTAATCTGCATAACAGCGCATTGCACTTCCAAATGCTTCAATGAGAACCCACACACAATACTCTGCACACAATGCAGTCCACTGCGCATGATGCACCTACTCAGTTTTGTAAAAAAAAAACTCTCAAACCTTAAAATCGAAAGCATGTCATGTTGCTGTGTCCGCAACTGCTGAGGCAATAATGAAACATTTCTGCTGAAGATTTTGAAAGATGATATTTGGCGACAATATTCTTTTACCACTTTGATGACAACACATACCACATTTAAAATATTGTAAGTATGTTGTTTGTTCTTGTGTGTAAAAGCCTGATTCAGACCATAATGGGACAGTAAAAATCATCACTGGAGCTCATATTAAGACAATTCCTTTTGAGTGGGTGATCAGTTCCTCAAAGCAATTCCCCAAATCTTTTCGGTATCAAAGATACCTAAAAGGCTTGAAAGGTGTCTATTAGGTTCACAGTTTCCTCCTTCATATAGAAGCAGCTGTGGTCTGCTTGGATATATTAAAGCCAATTGTAGTAGTTATATAATGATGTAAAACACTGAGCATATAGGCAGATGCAGTGATGTATTCTGCAGGACGTTTTGAAACTATTTCCATATTAAAAGCTTGTTATCTTTGGAGAACATGAACTGACATAAATACAGCTGACCACAGCCACTCAGTTTTTTTTGAAGGAGAAAACGATCAATTGTATAAGCCTTTGATGCCGACATTGTAAAAAAGATTGATGATTAGCTCCCAATGTGTCAGTTACCTGCGTCCACCTGTCCGGTGCGACCTCTCAGCAGGTAGCTGAACTCCTGGCAGCGTTCACTCTGGCTGTAACCTCTCGGGGAGTTGAAGCACAGCTCTTCCACCAGCACCAGCGCCTTCTTACACAGGTCTTCATCCCAGTCCCCCGACATCCTCCAATCCGCATCGCACTCTCACCAGCAGTCAGCCAAATGACGGCGCAGCCCTCGCCACCCTCACCTATCGGACGGCACTTTTGCAAGGTGTGAACTGAGAAAGAGGAGGTAGAGGACGCTGAGGGGGCAGCGGCAATAAATGAAGAACACGAGGGGCTTTGCAGGGTGCCTTGGTCTGGGTCACAGAGACCAGACTGATGTGCCCATGTATGACTGAGCGACACCCACCCCTCTTACTTTCCCTAGAGGAGATAAAGGGAGAAAAACGGGCAAAGTGAGTGTAAGGACAAAAAAGTGTACATATCAAGTCTTTGACAGGTTGGTCACCTTACCCATTAAGTGAGAACACTGATGCCAAAACCATCTCTGTGTCCCTGATAGATCGTTGGCTCTTGTGCTACATAATATCACTTTAGCATACACACGATGAGAGTGTTACTAGACAACTGCCATTGTGTAAGAAGTGAAAAAATTTGATCTTGTTGCAAGTAAAAGTAAATGATTAAGTCTGGCAGATTTGTGTTGAGATTGGCAAAAGTTAAATTAAAAGTTCAGCCATTTCATGAAAAAACACATCTTCACTATCCACAAACTACTTATCTATCTATCTTAAATAGCTATTAGCCTCATTGCCGTGAACACAAACCAAAGGCCTTACTGTCGGTTAGGGTTTGGCAATTGGATGAATATATCTGCGATCGGTTGAGTACATCGCCGGTTGTTTTTTGGGGGCATGTTTGTCCTTTTATTTTGTTAATTAAATAGTCTGCCTCCGGAGAAACGAGGGCCATTTGAATGGCTGGAAAACAACTGCGTTTAGAGCCAGCATATTTTTTTAACTTTGGGAAATAATGATTGTTGGAACCACGGAAAGACTAACCCAGACGGTTTTGGTGAGTTTCATTTGGTTTCTGCCGAGTTTGAAAGAGGTGTGTTCAGCTGATCTCCGAAAATGTTAACCTATCGCCCAACAGAACTATTTGTACATTTTAAAATGTTTGGTAAAAATTACTTCCTGAAAAAACTGTTGACAGGGAGGTGTGTGGATTGCTGTAATTTACAAGGGCATAATTTCTACAAGGGCACATTGCTGTTGCATTTTCAATGCTTTGAGGGCCTTCATTCGTTTCAATTTATTAAATTCCAAGCTGTAACGAGCTTTGTCTGCCTACTATTTTGCTTTGCTATATTTGCGTGTTTTTTTGGATCTGTGTGTGACATTTTTGTAGCTTTCAATTGGCACCCTGGTCTCTACGTTTGTAAAGAGGTCAATGACCAAAAACACAGCAAAATGAGAAAATACAGTCAGAGGACAGAGGTATCTGAAGATCATACTGATGACTGAGAGGGATTCTTTTCTATAAGGGTATAACAGTCAATACATTGTTTTTCAGGAAAATCTTGCTTGTGCCTTTAAGAATGTCATAAAGCCATGTTTGTTTTGTGTCTTACCTTTATTGAATTTGACTCTTGAGGCTCTGGGCCATGTTGAATTTGCAAGCAGAGACACTCTACATGTAAGATTGTCTTTGCAAATAGATTTGGCTGAGGAATGCAGAGTTATGCTTGCAGTGCATGCATAGCTTGTTATTATGTTTCCAAGACCAGAAACGGGAGCCTGCAGACAAGAGCCTTTCTCTTCCTTAACATCAAGTTGGGAATAGAGATGAGCCCTTAGTCATCTAGTTCCAACTGGAGTCGGTGGAACACATCAGTTTCCGTGGTCTCTGCAACACATCAGCATCGGATTTGAACCCACTGTCGGCTTTGTGCAGACTCTTTTGAAGCTCTCCAACATCCCCTGAAACACAATTACAATCAATCAGCCAAAAAGGTGAAGAGATACAACAAGATGGAGACCGATAAACTGCAAAACCACACCACAGTTTGGAGGACTAAACTCTCCTAAAACATGAGATGGAGGTATAATTAGATGTATTAAGTCTGACTGCCTTATGTGTGTGCTCCTTGTCCTTTCATCCAGGAGAAACTAGACTTCTTTAGCATACTGTCTATTTTTGAATTCATTCTGTCGAAATAAAAGCAGGTCAATGCCCAAACTCCAGCTTCTCACAGTCTGTGAGCCTCCAGGGACTCAGACTGAGGAGAATGTATGCAAAGTTGTGCCTAATAGTACAGATATGTTGCAAATCCCTGGTATTGAATATGTTTAGACAAAAATCTTGTACGAGTTGTGGCGTGGTTGGAAAATAAATCACTGGCAAAAAATAATGTTCATGGTGAGAGGTCAGCTCAGTTTTCCACCAAGCTGTTTTGTCCTTGTGAAGCAGTGGACCTATTTCTCAAGCAAGGTGCCTTGTCGGACAGTGGAAGGACTATTGATCATTTGATGTATGTTGGTCTGTGAAATGTCAGCATCAGTCTTTGTGCATTTAGTGGCACCTCCATAGCAAAGTGGTCCTCATGTGTCCATCTGTCTCCCACCCATCAATCAATCACCGCATTAGGCAAAGACATATTTCACTCTGAACAAGTTCCGAAACAAGAAATGCTTCCACTCCCTTTATAGTTTTTTTCCCTGTCCTCTTGAAGACAGGGACACACTGTTTCTCTCTTGTTCGCTCTCTGTCCCTGTCTCTTTTGAAAAGTTGATTGTCACATCAGGATAGTCTGTCAGTGTAAAAGAAACTCAGATAATGCAGAGTCTATTTATCTGTCCATCTCAGCTCAGCCTATTGCAGAAATGAATAAGAAATTAGTGAATCAAAATGCCATCCAGACCGTACATCCTAAACCAGCTCTCCTCTTGCCCCTCCCTCCCTCCTGATGCTCTCACTGGCATTTGAGGTGGCCAGTTTTGTGCCAGACAGCCATTCCTCAGATTGAGATATCCTGGGGTTTAAAGTCACTCAGACAGATTTCCTATCTTAATGGGAGAGAGTGGTTGGGGGGGGGGGGGGGGGGGGGGGGG